CCCGTGGGACCCTGGGGATGGGGGGGGGCTCACCTCATGGCTTCTGCTGACCCCGTGAGGACGGTTTGGGGGTGCTCAGCCCCATGGCTGTGGGGTGACCCCAGTGGGGAATTTGGAGGGGTCAGGGTTTGACCCAAGTTGGGGCTGAGTGTGTGTGGGGGGGATACGGGGGACAGCTGGGGGCAAGGAGAGGGATGGAGGGATGGGGATGGAGACGGATGGAGGAATGGGGAGATGGAGATGGATGGAGAGATGGGGAGATGGATGGGAATGGATGGAGGGATGAGGAATGGATGGGAAGTAGATGAAGACATGGAGATGGAGGAAGGTGCTTGGATGGAGGGATGGGGCCAGCCAGGGAACAGATACTGGGATGGAGGTGGATTGAAGAATGGGAACAGATGGAGGAACGGGGAGGGATGGGGAGATGGAAATGGATGGAGAAATGAGGACAGATGGAGGGATGGAGTCAGTGGGGAACAGCTGGAGGGAAGGGGATGGATGGGGAGGGATGGAGAGATGCAGATAGGTGGGGATGGAAGGAAGGGATAGAGAGGGATGGAGATGGATGGAGATGGATGGAAGGATGAGGTCAGACAGACATGAATGGAGGCACAAGGACGGACAGAGACACCCCAGGAGATGCCACTTACCTCCACGTCCCCCTTGTAGGCGCCTTCCTGGTGCACGTGGCCAGCTCCTGCCCGCTGGCCAACAACGGCTCCGTGCTGGATTTCGACTTCGCCCTCGTCTTCAACAAGAACCCGCTGGTCTGTTACGAGCCCGACGCCCGGCGCTTTACTGCCTGCGACTGGGGGCTGCTCCGTCCCTACGCCACGGTCCTTGCCGCCATCCTCAACAACGGCACCGCCTGGGTGCAGCGCGCCGAAGCCCGGCGCCGGGCTTGCCGCGACCTGGCCCCCCGATTCTGGTCCTCCACGGCGCTGCGGCGGAGTGAGCCCTGCGGCGCAGGGGGGCTTTGCACCCCGGGGGGATCACGCATGGGGGCTTTGCACGGGGACGTGGCGTAGGGAGTTGTGTTGAGGGTGTTGCAGAGCATGTTGCATGGGGTCATTGCACAGGGTGTTGCATGGAGCGTTGCACAAGGCTTTGCATGGGGCTGTTGCGTTGCACCTTGCACGGGGATGTTGCATAGAGCATTGCACAGGGCATTGCACAGGGGCGTTGCACGGGGATGTTGCATGGAGCGTCACCCCGGGCTTTGCATGGGGCTGTTGCAGAGCACGTTGCATGGGGACGTTGCACGGGGATGTTGCATGGAGCATTGCACAGGGGCATTGCTTTGCAGAACACGTTGCACGGGGATTTTGCATGGGGCATCGCAAGGGGGGTGTTGCAGAACACGTTGCACGGGGATTTTGCACGGGGCATCGCAAGGGGGGTGTTGCAGAGCATGTTGCACGGGGATATTGCACGGGGCATCGCAAGGGGGGTGTTGCAGAGCATGTTGCACGGGGATATTGCACGGAGCAACACCCCGACCTTGCGCAAGGCATCGCACGGAGCATTCCACTTGGGGACGTGGCATGGAGACGCAGCATGGGGTGGGGAGGGGGGCTCACCCCGGCACTGACCGTCCTCCCTCCCCGCTCCAGCACCCCCTCAAGCCCGCATCATCTCCTCCAAGACCAGCAACACCAGGGCATCCGTCCTCCTTACCTGCCACGTCTGGGGCTTCTACCCCGCCGAGGTGACCGTCAGTTGGCTGCACAACGGGAACGTCGTGGGCCCCGGTGACCACCCCCCCACCTCCGCCATCCCCAATGGCGACTGGACCTACCAGACGCAGGTGACCTTGATGGTGGCCCCGACAGCCAGGGACACCTTCGCGTGCGTGGTGCAACACGTCAGCCTGGATAAGCCCCTCCTGGAAGAGTGGAGTGAGTCGGGGGGAGGGGACACCCACCTGGACGTCTGGGTCCTCGCCACGTCCCATCTCACCCCCCCTCACCGTGTCCTCGCAGGTCCCGGCTTGTCCCCGGGGTTGACAGCGAAGGTGGCCGTGGCCACGGTGCTGATGGTGTTGGGGCTCAGCTTCTTCGTCGTCGGTGTCTACTGCTACCGGGGCAAGCCACCGGCACCGGGTGAGCGGTCAAGGAGGGACAGGGACAATGGCCTGGGGGGGGGGACAGGGACAGTGGCCTGGGGTGACACGGACCCTCCTCACCCCCTCTACTCCCTCTTGCAGGTTACACTCCCCTCCCTGGAGACACCTACCCCGCAGGTAATGGCACATCCAGCCCATCCCCATCCCCTGTCCCCAAGGGGCACGTCACCCCTGCTGCCACCCTATGTCCCATTCCTCCCCCCCCAGGAAGCATCTGAGGACCCCCAGGACAGTGACCTCCTGGCCCTGACAGTCCCCCCCCCTTTGGTGTCCCCATCACCCTGGGGGTGACGCCACGGTGCTGACAATAAAGATGCTCCAGGGTGGTTTCGCGGTGACGGGGTGGTTTGGTAGTGGGTCCCCGCGTCGTCCCACGGAGGGGAAGGTCTGCGGGGTGGAGGTGGCACCAGCGGGACCAGGCACGAGGGACACTGGGCACGA